GTTCTGCATACTGGCTCAGAGCTGAGAATTGCCTGAAGAGCTGTGATTCTGTTTTTTTGATTCAGCTTAAACCTTTGTTTTCCTCACTTGGATTGTTTTTTTAGTAGTATAGATCAAGTAAAAATTCAGGAGGATTTCTCCCTATTTTACTTCTAGGACCACCATGATCAACTAGTGACCACTGAAAGTCTCTGTGTGTCAGACTATTCTAACCACAGCTTTGGCCCTGCTGTCCATTGTGGTCATCTGTCTGGTTTGCCTGTGAAATCTAAGTGCTGACGTGGGGCCCCACTCAGCCACTTACCATCACGGGAATCCAGTTACCCACAGCATTTCACTTTTCACATTCTGTAGCTGGAGTTCCCTGGGTCAAGTCTGTGTACAGAAGGAAACTACAAAGGTTTTCAAATATGACAGGGCTCCCCCTGCAGATCTGTCACTGCCATGGTGAAAGGGGCGACTTAGAACTCTCCCAAGGTAAGCGAGCAGCTCTTGACAACTCTAATGTTCCTAAATCTTTGCATCCCTTCCTCAGTGTTAACCAACGCAAGTCACACACTTGTGATTCAGTTACACCTTTGGGGACATACATATTACAGAGATTTGCAGTCACTGCAATCTTTACCCTGAGCTGCATCCCCAACCTTTGCTTTTTACATTGAGACAATGTCTCACTAAGTGTAAAGTTGCTCCATGGGCTGGGCTCAAACCTGTAGTCCTCCTACCTCTGCCTCCAAGAGTGCCAGGATTATAGATGTGCAGCACCATGCCCATCCAGTCTATATTTTATCCAAACAAGCAAACTGTCAAAGCCCTCCCTACCTTTCCAAGCTGCAATGTAAACATAGAATTTCAGTTTAATAAGCCCACATCCATAAATTCCTCCTGATCCAACATTATACTATGTCCACAATTCTCCTTCACCCTTAGTATCCATTTGCACACATTCTCCAGATTCCTGTCTATGAATTAAAAAGTCAAGTCATTTTGTGGGTGTAACCCTCCTCCTTATGGGCCAGCCATTCAGTACCTCACAGGGAAGGGTTTTCAGGGCTCTGAGTCTGGTTATGGGTCTGGGAGCAAGGAGTGAATCAGCATTGTCTGACAGGACAGTTCCTTCAGGGAGCCTATCACAGTCTCTATGGGCAGCCAAGCAGTTTACACACTTAACACCTAAAATTCCATTCCTCCAGAACCTCTCTCAAAGCACAATATGCATTAGCCAGGCATCTCAAGAGAAACAGATGCACATTGTATGAGTGTGCAAACAGATGGATGGATGATGGACTGATGGACTGGCAGATGGATGGTTGAATGATTGGAACATGGATGGGTGGACAGAAGATAGGGCGGATGAACACATAGATGATAGATAGATGCCGGTTCATGGTGTTATACAATTCTTCCATTGCTACTGACTATATTATGACCCGCTAATTCCTTGTGTTAATGCCTTATGTGGTTGTATGGAGATGACGCCTTTGAGGCTATAAGGTTTAGGTGAATATAAGCATGGGGCCCTCCTGACGGATTGGTGTTCTGCTATGCAGAGACACAGGAGTGCTCACGTGTGCGTGTGTGTGTGTGTGTGTGTGTGTGTGTGTGTGTGTGTGTGTATTTGTGTCCCTATCCGCATGTCCACAGAGGAAAGGTCCTGCAACAGCACAATAGAGGCCCAGAAGAGAGCAGTCACAAGGACCTCAATCAGCTGGTGCCTTAATCCTGGGTTTCCTGTTCTCCAGAACTGAGGTGATCTGTTGAGTTTTTGTTGTTTTGGGGCTGACCCATCTACAGCACTGTGTTATGGTACTAAGCAAACTAAGACTCACCCTTTTGTTCTTACAGTGTTGTAAAGAGAGGGAGGGCACAGAAAGCCCAGCTGGCTGCATGAGGCAAAATACCTTTTCTTCTGTCTTAAAGGCAGACGTGGAACTCCACAGCCTCCATCAGGTCCCCGGGCTGTTCACATACAAAGACCTGGATCTGCTCACTAATTTTCTTTAGATTTCTGAGTCAGTCTAAGAGAGGGTAAAATCCCTGAGTAATTTCAAAGGGAACATTTAATGTATATTCATAAGGTAAATAGAAATTGGAGAGTTTATGCCAAAAGATGCAGTCAGTACCTGTCTTGGTAGGTGCTGTAAGAACGTTTGATGTTATTATTTTTTAAAATGTATTATACAGGAGATAGTGCATTACTGCTACTTTGGAGTAGTGAGGAATCAGGGTAAAAACCAAGAAAACACAGTTAGGAAAAGTTATCACACATAAAAACTTCGACAAGAGGGAACTGAGAACTCAATAGGTTCAGGAAGTTAGGCCTGAGGCTGTCTGACAAAAGAGCCGCCCCTGATTTTCTGTTTCCCTGGTACCCACTTACGCTTTCCAAGACATACCCGAGAGGGATCATGGATTTTATCGTCATCAGTCAGGAAAAAAGATCTAGGGTCATTGTTATTTTTAATTTAAAGAGCAAAGGGAAAGTAGATGTTAAGCAAGTGAAACTGGCCGTGGTTTTATTTTCTGGATGGGAGAAATGGATGTTTTTAACAGGAAGCATTTTAAACAAAAAGTTGAGAAATTTAAAAACAATGAAAATTGAGTATAAGTCACAGAAAGAATAAGAGAAAAAATACAAAGACACTTTCTCTGGAACCACCTAGCATGAGAATCCAAAGAAAGGAATCTTAACACCTTTGACTGCACCAGGGGACATGGTACGAGCACATAGGCCACCGTAACAGCCCTGGAAGCGCTTGAAATAAAATCTTGACTTGGGAACATTATTGCTATGGAAATATGTATTAATCCATAAAACACGTAAAGATGAGATCAATTCCTATGAAAAAAAGTAGATTTTCATAGATTGAGGGAGAAAAAAAGAAATCTAAGGATACAGAAATAAAAGTAGCAAACAGAGTCACTGATGTGTGAACAGGCCTAGATTTATGAGCAAGAAGCCAGGGATTTCCCCAGTTACCTTGAAATACAGAAATGGGGTGAAATAACTTCTGAACTAACTCAGTATAACATTTCCAGTGTTCTTGTTTAAACTTTAAATGCATATAGCTGATAAAGAACTAACTAACTAAAATCAACTTTGGAAATAATGCAAACAAAGCAAGGCAAAGCAGCTACCGTGATTAGAATGATAGGAATAAGAAAAATAACACCTATTGTTATTATTTTGATTAGTAGTACAATTTATTTAGCATCTACTATAGACCAGGTACTTTATTATTCACTCACAATAACTCAACAAGATAATTATTATTCCATATAGGAAATGCAATGTTTTAATAAATATGAAAGTTCATACAAATGTGTGAGTTAACATGTATCTTGGGTGAAATACTACACTAGTAAGTAAAAGTCTTGGAATTAACTCTAGGATTTTATGCTCCAAAGATGATGTCTTTCTGTGCATAACCAGAATCAGCTTGCATGAACTAAAGCATAATAAATAAATAAATAATAAGCATAACATATTTTCTACTGGTTGGACATCACATTCATAGGAGGAAAAAGAGCAAAACTGGACAAATGTCCAGAGCAAAGCTAACATAGACAGGATGGGGGCAAAATGGCACAGTAACAAGAATACTGGAGCACAGTGGCCCAACATCAGGTGCCTTTCATGAGGACGATCACTCTCAGGATTCTGTATCTGTGGAAAACAGAATTATAGGGTGGCATCCAGGGAAAGGAAGCTGTTAGACATAGGTGGTCTTTTTAAATGTACTAATCAGCAGGTATTTAAAAGCTGGTCACATCACCAGTTCAGTTAAGAAAAATCTAGTCCCAGCAAAAAGTACCAGAGGATGACAAGGCAGGACATGTGAATGAGATGCAAGTTCCCTCCTTCTCATCACCTGTGCTCTTGCAAATTGACAGCACAGCTCCTCCCAGGAGGATGAGGAGTCTATTTCCCTCCCCAACAAGTCTGAATTGCCTGTAGAATCTGCTTAAGCCAAGGGCACACTAGCACATGACTAAGAAAATTCTGAAGAGTGTTTGCAATTAGAGGTAGCCCAAGAGTCTGCCAGCTTCCACCTCCTCTATGGGGGCCATCTGTTCTGGTTTACATCTGGGTGCCCTCCAAAGCCTCATACACTCTGGGCTGGGGCTATGGGAAGGTACTAGATCACTGGGGCATGATACTTGTCAATGTAGACTAGCTACTGATGAGACTATAGGTAAGTTTGGTTTGAGAAATAAAATCTGATTAGAGGAGATGGGTCACTGGGGCTGTCACCTGGAAGGGTCTATCTCCCTTGCTCCTCCCTTGATCTCTCTCTGCTTCCTGGCGCCATGCCATGAGCTGCTTCTCCTCTGCTGGGTGCCTCTACCAGGCCCCTCAGCTATGCTGCCCTCTCTTGAAGCCAACTAATTACATAGACTAAAACCTCTATAATCCTGAGCCAAAATAAATCTCTCCTCCTTTAATTTGTGTGTATCAAGCATTCGACCTCAGTAACAAGAAAGTAACTCAGAGACCATCTCAATTTGTGTAGCTCCACCAGTGGCAACTCCACCAGTGAGCCCCGGACGATGATTTAACCTGGTAGAAATGAGCTGAAGAAGACTAGACAGGAACAAACCACATGTCCCATAAAAGTATTGACAAAATAAAATTGTGGTTGTTTGAAGTCACTGCATTTCAGGGAGGTCAGTTACACAGGTTAAACTACTTAAATTAGGTGACAAAAAAAAGTGACAGGCAACATGGATGTCCACTGTGTAATTCAAAAGCTGGCTAATTAGTTTTCTGATTTGAGATTTTCTCCTCTACTTGTTTGAAGATAGAAAATTGGAAATTATTCCGGCTCCCACTCACTTGAAAACTAAACTGCTTCTGTAAATTGTCTATTCCAATCTGGTCTGTGTAGCAGGAATGTGAGACCAGCAGAGGGTACAACTGAACTGAGGTCACAGTGTGTTCCTGACCAAACAAAAGCTACTATCCAGTGCCTCCCACCTGCAATTGTGGGTACCACTTATTAACCTTCTTGGTATCCTGACCCGTCCTGAGATTCTGTCACTCTGTGACTCTGCAGTTCTATCATTCCAAGCCAATGCATAACAATGCCCATGCTCCAGGCAGCCTTGGCATCAGACAAGAACATGGCCTAGACTGAGTACCAACCCCATCATCTCCTTTCAGCAAAACACCAGCTCTCTGCACCAGCATGGATTCCATTGCCACACAAAGTCCATTATTTCTAATACTTCCTCCAGAAATCACTGATATAGCATGTCAGTCCACAGAACTCAGAGACAGAAGCTATGAGTACCACAACTCCATGCAGAAATTCTTTACCACAAAACTGAAGACCCTAGGGGTAAGTAAGACTTGCCCCTCTGTATATTCTACTAAGGCAGGTGCAGGGACTGGGCCTTCATTACTCAAGTTCTTTGAACATCAACAACTCTAGATGGAGAAATATAGAAATGACAGAGTATCTCTACCTACATAGCAACCTAGAAGAAAAATTTAAAACTTACTAAATAAATGTCCCAATGTTGCAATGAAAGCAAAAATTAAAATCAGAAAGTCAAATATTTATGATTTTTCAAATAGAAATCATGGGAAAGTTGGCTACTACTTTTTGGATGTTGGGATCATGGGCCTTTAGAATAACAGAGGTGACTTTACGACTTCAAGCCTAAAAAGCTGATGATGCCAACAACAGAAATCCAGAAATTAAAAAAGACTGGATTTAAAGGTAGAAAGTGAGTTTGATTTAGAGCATGCAGAACAGGAGGTATTAGTGGAACTTTTGAAGAGGGATGTTTGACAAGAGGTAAAATGTGAATCTGGACTTGAATATGACATCACTTAGGAGTCACCTCCCAAACAGGTGACATTCCAATAGAAAAAGGGAGTTATTCAAACTGACAAGAGTGAAGTGAAAAGAAAAGGGCAGAGAACACATAAGGGGTGATCAACATATAGAATGATTGCCTAAAGAGAGCAAAAAGCACATAGCCATGTATCCCTCTGAAAATCCGTCCCCTCCCTGAGAACACACTATTCCCATCAGGACTGCCAGTTTCTCACACAGTTCTGGAAACGCTTTGTCAGCAGTGTCTTTACAAGGTGTGGTCAACAGTACAGTGAATGCTGCTACCCAGTGTGATCCCAGAAAGACGGGCTCATCAAAACACAAGGCTGTGTCCTCATCCACCTTATTCACCATATCTAGCCCTGTGTAACTCTGACTTTCCCCCAAAGCCAAAATGACCACGAAAGAGAAACCTTTTGAATCCATTTAGAACATCAAAGCAGCCACACCAAAACTAGAGATACTCACAAAAGAGGACTTTGAGACACACTAAAATAAATACTGAGCTGGAGTGTGCACCATGTTTTCTGATCACACCACAGAAACGCCTCTGCTGCACACCTTTTGTTGTTCTTCCAAGTCACTCCATTTGTCTTTCCCCGCACATGTCAACATACTGTTAGTGTTAAGGGCATCACCAGCATGACACTGGGAGAAACACAGGAAAACACCAGAAAGAAGGAGAGCTGTCAGCCAGCGAGCATGACAACACCTCTACAGGTTCAGAGGACCTGGTATCTCAAGAAGCTCAAGGTGGTACAAAAATGCAGTGCTCCTCAACCCTTGATGGTTAGGAGCTAAATAGCTGAGAGCCTAGCCAGATATAGTCTCACCTAAGGATTCCCATTCGCAAGTTTGGGTCAGCCCCCAACAACCAGTGTACTGAGCTCCCACGTGGGCCCCATGCCACCAGTCCCCAGACCATGTTCTCAGGAGCACTGGCTTAGACTGTCTTCCCTTTCACCCGGAGCATCACCCATGGGTTTTGCTGCCTTTCCCTTATTCACACAAGAGGGTAACTGCCAAGTCTTTCTAATCGAATGACCTGAGCAGAAGAGAGCCACCCTGTGCTCTTTCCTTGCCATGACTTTCTGAACCTCTATTTACAGGCTACCCAGATCATCCTTGGAATCTTGAACTTTTCCTTTGGAATTGTTTTCCTTTTCACCTTGGTACATCCATACCCAAGGTATCCCTTTATCCTCATTTCAGGATACCCATTCTGGGGCTCGGCTGTGGTAAGTACAGTCAATCCAGTTCCATGGGAAACTATACCAGTGGAGGTCAGGGAATTCCTAGTTATGATAATATAGTTGCAGATGTAAGATATGCTCTGAAAAGTGCAAAAACTATTAACTCTTCTTGCTGAAAACATTTCCCCATTAATTCATTTGAGTTACAGATGTTCCATTACTGAGTCTTGAAGCTCCTTTGGGAGCTTTACAGCTGTTCATTTCCCCACCGACTGATCCTAAACTAGGTGTTATGTATTCGAGCACTGACCCACAGGACAGCATAGTAAGGGTCTTCCAAAGGGTTCTCAGTCCATCAAGAAGAAAACACGTAGACAAGTCATTTCAAAGCAACGTGACAGAGATGACACAGAGATGTAGGAAGCGCATAGGCAACCAGGGACAAAGGAGCAAGTTATACATTGGAACAGTAGAGAGGCAGGGGTGGCTTCTCAGGGATCCCTTCTAAGGTCATAGAGTCCTGCATCTGAGCACATGTAATCATACGCAATGAACACTGACTCAGCAGCTACTTATACCAGAGGACAGGCAGGACTGGGGAGTCGGCTAAAGGCACTCTCTGACCACTCGGGTAAGTGCAGGATCAGCGACCACAGGGTGTGATGCATGATAACCAAGGACCCAGGGGCTGCCACTGCAGACAGGACCCCAGGGAACACTGTCCATACATAGCATGTCCAACTTGACTGAGCTTTAAAGGACATGTGGTTTATGAGATGAGGACAGAGGATGGGAATGGAGGTGTCTGGGGACAAGGAGTGGGGGTATTGGGAGAAAAATGAACAAAATACTGAAGGTTTAGGAGAGTGTCTGTTATTCTGTGAGCTTCAGAAGTCTAGCAGAGGGAATGAGAGTGGGGGAAGAGGCAAGAGCGATGCCAGAAGAGGAGCTAGAAAATCAAAGTGTGGGGGTGCTAAAGTTTCACCTAAATCACCATGTTAGCGTGTTTGCCTTTCCTCTGTAAAACTTCTTAAGGGTTCTCCACAGTTATAAGCAAGTTAGCTTCAATTCCACCTAAGAGGACACACTGGAGAGTGGTAAGACGGCATCCACTCCCAGTGGCTGTAAACTGCTTGGACACTAGTGTGTTCTGGTGTCAAAGTCTAGGCCCCAATAGCTATAAAAGGGAGGATGAGGACACAGAAGTATGATGAGTTGAAAGCATTTTTTCATAGTTAAATAAACAGCTAAACCTAAAGCAGATTTCCGGTCCAGTGTTAAGCCCACTGATTATTGCTGGACAGTCACATAGGCAGCTCACCCTCCCACCTTCCTGAGGACAGTGGGATTTGAAAGGAGAGCACAGGAGGGACAGGCAGAGCCCCATCCTGTGGGAAACCCTTGACACTGGTGTGACATTGAGATTTACTCTTTTTAACAGTTCATTGCTTCTGGAGCCTTCCACATTGCATTGAAAAGAAAAACCACACAAAAAATGGTGAGTTTCACATTGACATTGTTACAAATTTAAAACTTTGAAATAATCTATTCTAGCCTTGAGAATGAATTTGGAAAATCATGAGACCATCACAATCCCATACGCTGGCACCAGTCAATGACATTTGCTCTCTACTTTCATATAAACCATTAGGGCCAGAGAAAGGATCATGTTTATGTATGAAGACACTAAGAGACAGGATGGTTAAATGATCACTGAATAGCAGAACCAACAGCAGTGTTCCATTCTCTTGCTCATTCTTCCATTCCAGAAGTGTTTTTGGGACCCACTACATATCAGACAATTGGTCAGGCACTAGTGTGACTCACAGGAAGGGATAAATCAGAAACTGAGCTGTCCTGGGGTCACATACCTATGATCCCAGCACTCTGCAAGGCCAAAGCCAGGGGACAAGTTAGTGACTTAGCAAGATCTTGTTTCAAAAAAAAATTTAAGGGCTGGAGAAGTATCTCAGCATAAATGCCTTGGGATCAATCCTCAGTAACACACACAGGCATGTGTGCACACACGCACACACCACACACAAATCATAAGTGGAATCTGGCAATACAGAGCACATTGGTGACAAATACAACACTGTAATTATAAGTAAAATATTCTTTCTTTATTTGAAGAATCAAAGGTATTAGCTACTAATTTTTAGCAAAGAATATCTGTAGTTTTAGGAACAAATAAAAATAGCAGAGAAATGCAATGCTTAGTAAAACCCAATGTAAGCAGGTTGTGACTGCCCGCATCAGAATGCAATGCAAAGTAACCGCGTCTGTGTCTTCCTCTATCCCCCCCACACACCTCCTCCAATCTGAATGGGAAATCATGGGATAAAACAAGGGTGGCGAACCTATGGCATGTGCCATATCTTTGGAAGCTCTGCTACTGTGTTTATAATGTACAGGTCATTTTTTCTAAGCTAAAACTTCAGTATTCAGGTTTAATTGGCACTCTGCAATGAGTAAGTGGGTTTGAGGTTGCAGTGCGGGAACTTGGGTCTCTAACAGGTTCGCCATCCCTGGTCTACCAGGTGAGTGGCCTCTCTCTGTAGATCAAGGGCTGAAGCCCAGGGAAGTGAAGTGACTTGTGTATGACCACATAGCTGGCCTGGTTACCTTGGGTAGCTGTGGCTAAAACCCTGCTCTCCCATCTTCAACCCACTGTCCTGTCTACAACACAGGCCAGGCCTGAATCGCTGTGTTGTGTTCTGATTCTGCTTCAGATGAAAGCAAGCTGCATAATGAATGTCCTTAGTATCCTGATTGCCATAATTGGAATTATCCTCCTCACATTTGGTTTCCTTCTCGATGCAAACTACCTTTGTGGCTATGCACAAGACCTTGTTCCATGCCGTGCAGTTACCATCATATTCGTGGTGAGTGTGCTGTGCTTTGACAGTGGGAAGGTGGTTTAATCTGATGGATTTATTAGCACCCTCTGAGCTCCACTCAGTGATATTGGAGATATGCCTTCCTTTTACTTGTTTAGAGAACCCATACGATGTGATAGGCATCATACCAAGGACTTTGGAATAGAGCAATGCACACGTTACAACTTCCCCTTCAGGAATTCACATAAGTAGCTGAGAGGAATGATTGTGCAAATGATATGATACAAAGGGAAGGCACTAAAAGAAAATCACAAGCACAGCAGTGCGGCACAACTCTTGGCCCCAGATGGTCATGAGAGTCATTAGCAAAGTGTTGTTATGGATTTAATTTTTGCTATTCTAGACTTCCACTAAAGTGTGATGGGTTGAAAATGAACATTGACCTCTGCTCTCTTCAAAACACAATTTAATTTAAAAGAGGAAAAGTTTATTCTGGCTTGCATTTTTAGCCTACAGTTGCCAACCCTAAGACTGGAAGGTGTGGTGGACGAGTCTAGCAGAGGAAAGCTGCTTAGGAATCAAAAGAGGGAAGGGGTGAGCATGGGGAGATTTGCATCCTTCCAGGTCACACCCCTGGCAGCCACCTCTTCCAACCAGGCACACCTCTTCACCACATCGCCCCAGAACCCAGTCCTCTCTCACCATGAGTGCACGAGGGACATGGAGCATTGGCCATAAGCACATCACAAGCAACAGCAACAGAAACTTTTGGGGAGGACATCTTCATTCCAACTTGAGCAGAAGTGGTCTAGTTGCTGATGCTGAGGGGCCTGAGCTACTTATCAGTGGAACTACTTTTGGGAACATCTGCTTCTGGGGTTTTTCAGAAATTGTAGCTTGAGACATATATGAGGGGTGGAGGTGGTTTTAGTAACTTCATATTAAGTCTCAGTGGTAGGCTTTCTTTTAATGATGTTTCCAAAATAAGCAACCTTTTAACTATAAATGTAAAGAATTATCAGATTAGACATCTAGCAAAAGAATACCATCCACACCTATCAATGAGAAACACTGAAAATTTTATCATTTTAATTGTGTTATCAGAAGAAGGATGACTCCAAACATGCGCTGAGGTACAAACAGAATTTCTGAGGAGTCAGTCAATGATTAACAAGGAAGTAAGAAGACATTAGAATGGTCTTAAAAAATTCAACCCTGCCAACTGACACAAGAAAGCAGTGCCCTAGAAAGTGGATTGTGCGGGGGAAAAAATCACTCCTAAAGTCAATTTTGTACATATAAAGGCTGAACAAGTATTTTCTTTTAAGATTTTAAAGATATCAGTACATAGCCCAAGATAATTCACTCTAGAAAGGAGTAAAAGAAGAGGCCTTTTACTCATTAATATGTGAAGATAATTATAAAATCTGTATGGGAAGCCGGGTATAGTGACACCTGCCTGTAATCCCAGCACTCTGAAGGCTGAGGCAGGAGGATTTCTGTGAGTTCAAGGAGAACTGGGCTACAAAGTGAGTTCAAGGCTGGTCTGAACTGCAGAGTGAAACTCTGTCTCAAAAAAAATATACAGAAATCCTTCCCTGTGAATTTACACACAGAGAGAAACATGGGTGAGAGTTGGCATGAAGAAAGGATGATGGGCAAAGTGTCTGCCGAGCATTGCCACAGGAGGAGGACAGACGGATGGACCTGAGGCAATGATGCATGTGAGGAAAACCTTATTCCTAGGCAGACAAACTAAGTCCTGCTCATGGCAAGCGCTAGGCTTAGCCGCCCATCCACCTGGATGGCAAAGCCCCGCAGGGAGGATCCAAGCATCCCCTGAGCTGAGGTCAGGAACAATGAGAGCTCCTGGCCAGATCTCTGCAAGACTTCCACAGGGCAAAGCACCAACCCCATGACCACCAGGGAAATCTGTGACAACTGAAGGCTGGGTGTATTCAGTGCTGTACGAGTAGAAAAGCAGAGTCTCCGTTTAGTACCAATGGGGGAAATGCGTATGCTTTTAGGGTTCCATCAGCTGGAGTCAGTCAGAGGACATTTTAGGGCAGGCTTGCAGTAGGCTGGGCAGGAACTGGTTAGAATTTATAAACTGGAAGACTTCCATGGGCACACAATGGTCTTATTTCCAGAAAAGAGGAGAGGACGGAAAGAGGAAGGGTAGAGAGGAGAAGGGAAAGGGAAAAGAAAAAGGTATATATTACAAAGCTTCACAATAGTCAATAGCTAATTCTTGGAAAATGCTAATAAAATACAAGCATCTTATTTTTTCACTTCTGGCTATGAGCTTCTGCTTACTATATAAACTTGGAAAAAGAAATGAAAATATACACTATGTATTTGCCAACAGATCAAGGAGGTCAGAGCAGTATAGATCTATTCTTTAATTGGAATGTTCTGTGTTCTTCTCCAAAATTCAGATTTCAATGTCTGTTAAATCTTAAAGACAGAAAATTAAAGCCAAAAAAATAAAATAAAAAACACTAGATAAAGACAAGATCAGAAATTAGGATTTTTCTTTTTTAATTTTTAAAAAGAAAAGGAAATCTGGGTGTGGTGGCCTACACCTGTAATCCCAGCACTTGAGAGGCTGAAACAGGAGGATTGCTACAAGTTCAAGACCAGCCTGGGTTACAAAGTGAGCTCAAAGACAGCCTGAACTACATAGCAAGATCCTGTCTCAAAAAGACAAAAAATAAATAAACAAATAAATATAAAGGGAAGAGAAATGAAAGAAACACATAGAGCACTTATTACAAAGGATCAAAATAGTCAACATTGGTTCTTGAAAAATTTTAATAAAATACACAAGGCTTTTTTTCCCTTCTACTTCAGGTTATGACACAGTCATTTTTATCAGAACATCTTAGTGAAATTCACTTTAAAAGTTATTAATATATCAAAAACAAAAAACTCACTGGACTGTTTGAATGCAGATGAAAGAAACCACAGTGACCAGGATTTGCAGTGCAAAAAGGACATACAGAGTGATGAGCACTGAAGTGGGCTCGGAATGCCCCACCTCTTTCCGGCCTTGACCTGGGTGCTGATTCCTAGTTTCTGGGACTCGGACACCAAAAGGATCAGCAGAGCAGGCAGTGAGAGACAGTTGTGCATGTCGGTCCCCAAGCTGAACGGGGTTCGCTGTGGGTTGTAAACATACACTAATAAAACATTCCTTAAAAAGCCAAAGAAACAAAGAAATCTTTTCTCTTATTAAAAGAGACCGCCAAAGGGGAGGCATGGAGACTGATAAATACTGGAGAATGCCATTTGTGGAAAAGAAACTGTACCCAGAATTTAGAATGTAAGAAACAAGGCAGCCATCATGATACTAAAATTCATGCCTGAGTTATTTTGATCTATGATTGAACCAACATAACTTTCCCATAATATAATTGTAAGTCATTTCCAAAGACTGATAACATAATTTACATAATTCCTACCATTTTCAAATACTATGTTTATTGAGTTAAAAAAAAACACTAGTCATGCCAAAAGATAGGACTGAATGTCAAAAAACACTACAACAAAGTAACAGAAATAAAGGTGATCCAAATAGTAATTAGTCATAACCTAAACTTCCATGGCTGTCACATTCGGGAGGGGAACACATTGGAACTATTATCTGAGAATTAATTCAATGGAACTACAACACTGAAAACTGGTAACTGAAATCAAGCAGCAGTAAATGAGGTCCATAGCATTAAGCTTGTCAGAGGAGACAGGGAGGGACAAGAATCAGGACAGAGGAGGACGAGCTCAGTCAAGGCACATTACAAGCATGGGTGAGGATCCACTGTGAAAAAATCTGACACTGTGTATAATTGGTACACACTAAGTAATTACTAAATATATATCGATGGAAAACAATCAGTATCAAATATCAAGACTAACGCCCAGAGAGGCTGCAACGATGGAGAATAACATAAAGTACATGAGGGACCTATGAAGCAGAATTTTAAAATGTAACCTCTGTATGTCTTTGGAGAACCAGGAAAGAGAAAAGCCAAGACACAGTCAAAGCAATTCTTTGAAGAGAAGATGACTGATCATTTTTCTGATCAGGGCCAAATACAAGATGCAGATTCTAAGGTCTGTGAATCCCAAGCAGGAAAAAAAATTACAAAGGGAACAATTATGTGTGAGTGCGTAATAGTTATATTGCTGAGGAAAAAAAAAATAAAGCTCAAAACCCTCATCCAGGGGATGAGTGGATGGGTTGTATTACAACCAAAAAAGCAATGTAAACTATCAGTGGATTTCTTCTCAGTTACAGGTTGATAGAGGCCAGAAAGTAATGCAATGACATCTGTAAAGTACTGGCACAAAATTATGCCAATGTGGAAATCTATATCTGGTAAACACATCCTATAAAAAGCAAAACGAAAAAAATCTATATCATTATGGTTTGGATTTTTTTAAAAAGGCCAACCAAAAGTCTCAAGTGTTTAGAGGTGGCACTTTGGAGAGTAATTGGGTCATGAGGACTGTAAATTAACTCATCATTGGGATCATAATTTGATGGTATTGTTGGGATACCATGGAAATTTAGGAGGTGGCGCCTAGTTGGAGGTGGGTGATGGGAGTGTAGCTTTAGGGACTGTATCTGCCTCTTGGCCCCTTCCACCCTGACTCTCTCGTGCCAGTTCTTCTCCTTCACCTCCCCCTCCTTCTCCCTTCCCCTTTCCTTCCCCTTCCCCTCCTCCTCATTCTCTCTTTCCTTGCTGACATGCGCTGAGCAGTTTTCTTCCACCATGCCCTTCTACCATGATGTTCCCACATGGACACACTCCTAAACGTAATGCAGCCCACTAACCATGGGCAGGAACCTCTGAAACCAGAAGCCAAAATGTTCCTCCTTTAAAAGAAATGCAGTTGGTATTATCAGATCTGGACCACAAGTTAAAATAGAAGTTGCTTGGCAGGTACCAAAGAAAAACACATTACTTTCAAATAAAATTTTAAAAAAAAAGAAAAACACATTAATTCTGGAAAGAATAAAAGATATTGAAAATGGTAGAAATAAGAGAATGAAACTTGAAGATATATTTACTGTTTGGGAAGAGTCATGTTGTGAGGTTTTAAAGTAACACAGAAGTAGGAAAGAGAGTAAATAGAATTAGTCACTTGTTTTCTAGTATACTTAGGAATATTAATTATTATATTTTAAAGAGGCAGCTGGTAATTTCCATCATTACCATTAAGAAAACATTTTTAAAGTTTTGTTGCACAGAAATTTTTTCTTTTTTTTTCCCCGATATTATCAAACCCAAGCTCTTTTGCTCTTTAGGCAAACACTTTATCACTGAGCTACTTCCACAGCTCAAGAACACTTTTTTTTTGTTTGTTTGTTTTAATCGGTGCCAGGGATCGAACTCACGACTGCATGCTTATAAGGCAGGTGCTTATGCCGCTGAGCTAAATCCCCAGCCCCAAGAACACTTTTTAAAAAATATATAGTACTCTTATTTTAAAAAAAGGCTATCATAATGAATTCTAAAAGTTGCATTCTATGTGCAAGAGACACCTACACTACAAAGAAACAAGTAAACCCAGAGAAAAAACTTCATCAATTATAGGGATGGGGCTTTCCATAATGAATAAAGTGCTGACCCAAAGAAAACCATAATTACAAATTGAATACTTCTAATAATGGCTCAAAATCAGTAGGAAAACCTAATGTAACTGAAAAGTATAAGTGAACAAACTAAAATCATCTCAAGAAATTTTAGCACACATTTCTCAGTAATTGAAAGGACATACTGAAAGACTGTAAAATTTCAGGCTTCTTTACAACACAGTTGGCAAAATGGATACAAATGTCATATTTACAGCACTATACCAAAGGAAATAGAAAATATCATTGACTGACTTTTCCAGGCACTAATCAAAGTAAAAAAAAAAGTGAAGTACTAAATGCCAGCCTAGAATTCTATGTCCTTCTCAAAAGTGATGGTGAAATAAACAACTGAGGAAAAAAAAGCAGATATTCATCAGAGCATTTGCAACAACTGATGAACCACATAGCAAATCTCAACAAAATTTGAAAGATTAAAATCATGCTGTTTATTTTCTAAACTCAATAGGATTGTATTAAATAATAGCTCAGAAATGCTAAATTATGCAAAGGTCAAAGGATCTAGAAGAGAAATTTAAAATATATATTAGAAGCAAAGTTATAAATATTCATAGCACATTTTATTGGACACAGTTAATATACACTTAGAGGGAACACTAAAGCCTTAAATGCAAATACTGGAAAAGAACAACAACTGAGAAGTAAAGACTAAATATCCATGTCAAAAACTGAAGGAATAAAGATAAAGATTAGATAACTAATGAACTATAAAATAAACTATAGTCACATAAGGTGGCGCAGTCCTATAATCCTAGCACTCAAGAGGCTGAGGCAGGAGGATAACTGCAAGTTTGAGATCAGCTTGGGCTACAGGGTGAGCCCAAGGCCAGCCTGAACTGCCGAGCATGACCTTGTCTCAAAAATGCTAAATAAATAAATAAATAAATAAATAACTATATATAAGATCAACAGAACCAAAAATTCAATGTTTGCCTTAAAAAAACAAACCTCTGACAATTACTAAAGAGAAAATTAAAACTACTAATCTCAGAAACTAACAGATCTGTCACTAGGAACAGAGCATTCCTTACTGCAGTGCATTATGAAGACTCAATGGAATTAACAAAGACATTGTAAAACCCACCTCTGAAAACTATGCCAACCCATCCACCATGACTAACACAGAAGAAAAGCATGATATCTGATTAGTCTTATCTCTAGCAAATAATCCATGATTTAAAACTTTCTCTTAAAAGAGGAAAGCAACCCAGAAGATTAATTATTCCAAAAATTTACCAAAGAAATAAAACCAATCTTAACAAACAACATCCAGAAAACAAAAGAAAGAACATTTGCCAACTCACAGGTATCTGTGTGAGACCATCACAACTACAACACTAACACCTCAGAGACATAATTAAAGACAAGGAATTTAACAGATAATTCTCTCTTGGAAACTCTATGTATAACTCAGAGATAAAATATTGGAAAATACAATTCAGCAGTGTATATTAAAATGAATCATGGTCAAGTCAGTTGATACTAGAAATACACAGTTGATGTCTCATTCAAAAGTCATTCAATGATAGACCTAAATTTTCTAAACACTAATCAAATAGAGAAATCAAAATGTTATCATGTGCAAGTACAAATTCCCTATGATGAAAGTGATTATATATATATATATATATATATATATATATATAGTATATTATGGTAATATATACCATAGTAATATATCTATAATATACCAGTAAATTTAATTTTATTTAAAAATAAAATAAAAGAAGACACATGAGATATGAAAACCAAACACTAAACTAAATTGTGAAGCTTCTAGAGAGGGGAGAGGGGTAGGGAAATATTTTCATGTTTTGGAGATGGAAAAAAACCTATCTTAGAATAGACAAGGATCTAGCCTTAAAAGAAAAAAACCAATAAAATAGGCTAGCATAGAATTTTTTCTAAAATAAGCAAAAAAAAAAAAAAAGCTGGGCATGGTGGTACATGCCTATAATCCCAGCATTCAGGAGGCTGAAACAGGAGGATTGCCTCAAGTTCAAGGCCAGCTACATAGTAAGTTCAAGGCTGGTCTGAAATACATAGCAAGATTCTACTGCAAAACATAAATAAAATAAGATAAGTAAAAGAAAAAAATAAACTAAAACCTAAACTTCTTTATCAAGGAAATCATGAAGAACATGGAAAGTAAGACACTCTAGGGAGATTTTTCCCAGTGCATTTACCTGGCAAGAAGCTCTATCCTGTCTACATTAAACATTCTTGGAAATCAGTAGTAAGCAGGCACAAAAACAAGATTTGAACCAGTACTTTATGGAGGAAGGCTGGCAAATTATTAGTGGACACACTCAGCTTAGAGTCATCAAAGTAATGCAGGTTTAAAACACAATAATCCACTCCTGAATTCACACTGAAATGATTTTAATTAAAAGCACTGCCAACAGCGACTATGGGTGAGAATTGAAGCAGCTGGAACTCTGGCATGTTTGTTGGCAGAAGCCTAAGACGGTTCAATCATCCTGGCGAGCTGCTTGGGCAATTTCTGACAAAGTTAAGCACATACCTATTTTACACCTCATAATAGACATTTATGAAATTACTTCCTGTGAATAATTTAGAAAACATGCTATTTCCTAAGAATTTCTTGAATGACATAGCCTGCTGTCTTTCCGCCTTACCACAGCAGAAACGTCTGTGTCCTCAGGTCCTTCTCCGTGAAGCTGGCTCCGGGGCACCAGATCCCTGGGAGAGATGAGCAGCTCTTTAGTGCCTGCTTATCCCCTGCTTATTTCCTGACTTAGCACAGTCAGGAAAACCACTGTGATGCTGACCCATGGCACCTCACACCTCACTCTTTCTTCTTCTGTTACAGGGAATCATGGTGATGCTGCTGGTCTTCACCATGGCTGAATTATTCATTTCTCTGTCTTTCTCCATGGTGGCGTGTGACTTAGGCAGTAATCAGGCATGATGGTGACAGCACTATGGAAATAAAGATGTGATGTGACATTACCTCCAGGGGAATTCTGCATGTGAGGAAAATCCACAAGGCGCCCAGATTCTGGAGGCTGACAAAGAAGAGTGACTCAGAGGGGCAGGGGCTTGGGGACTCTGAGTGGGTACAACACACCTGCCTCTTTCTCTCTCCCTGAGAATCACCTGTGTCATCACCTCTGTTAGCCGTGCAGCCTTTCAACTAAAGTTTGGCAAAGGGAGGTTTGCTTGTATACATACAGACATGGGTCAGAGCTCAGGATGCAGGGCCAGGAGAGACAGACCATCCCAGGTCCTTTGTCTCTGACAAGCTCCCGTTGGTCTCTTTGAGAGACTCCACACAATGACTCCTTCTCCACTGGGGGAATACAAGTTGGGTGAGAGAACGGTCTGGGCCAGGACTGAGGGTATAGCTCAGAGGTGCAGTACTTGTATAGCATGCTCAAGATCCTGAGTTTGGTCCCCACCAACACACACGTGGAAATAACACACACAAAGAAGTTTGGTGTAGCCCCCAAACTTTACCCGCACTGGTCAGCTACAACAATAGTAAAAATGAAGGTGAATATCCCACAGAGGTGCTATTGTGTTCCAAGCATTAAGCTAAATGTTACACCTGCTACCCATTCAGTCTCACATGGACACTAACAGATGGATTTTATTTCTGTGCCTGAGAGACAGAAGCCACTGCACAAAAACGATCAATGATTCGCTCAAGGTCACAGCTCCCTGGGTCAGAGCCATCATCTGGCTCTAGAGGTCGAGGTCTTCATCCCTACACCAACCACTGTCACTCGAGCTTTTTGAGCTCAGAATTCCTTCATACCCTTAAAGATTAGAGGTCTCGATCCATGTTAATAATACAAGTCACATTTCCCTAAAATAAGTTTTCCAAAATAAAGCAGTGTGGACAAAGGCAGTGATTGCTGCACTCACTTGTTTCTATAAAGCACCAGTTTCCAACCTGGCACCTGAGGAACTTTCCAAACCCCAGCCCAACACAGGTAGCACCTTCCCACAGTTAAGCCCGAGCACAGGCAGAGTTGGGAAGTGGCACTCGTTAAGGCTTTATAATGGCTTCCAAAGCAGAGCAGAGCCCGATAGCTACTGCTTTCCTTTAACACAGCAGAAAGCAACTGGGTTCTCTCAGTGGCTTTGCACTCAATCTGTCATATCTGGTATTCTGTGCCTTCATCATAACGTTGCGGAAAGGGGAAATAAGTATTATTCTATTATTATCACTATTATTAAAATAATTTGACTTTGTGGGCCCCCTAAAAAGATGTCAAGAACCCCAGAAGATTCCCATACCATGCTTAAGAACCACTGCCTTATTTATATTACTATATTATCTCTGCAGGCATGAAACTGGAGCTCCAAGTAGCTAACTTTTCTGAACCATGCAGGAAGTATGATTTAGAATCAAGGTTTTAATCCAGATCCTTCACTCCAAATCCCATGCATAGAAAAACCAAAACTCAGCACACTGAAAGACATAGATTAACGTGCTCCCATTTCTGCTAGAAGGGGCTCCAGCCTACAGGTGCAGGTGAGAAGGTAGCAGGACACACAGCATGAGAAGAGGATGGATTCTGAATTCACCAAGGAGTGTGACTCCACTGAAAACCAACCATCTGGCAACCACAAGGTGCTCAGCTGTGTTAGAACCACATGACTTAACAGACTATGTAAACCTTGTGACTTTTAAATTCCTAATATGTGGTAAGAACATCTTCTATCTAATGGATTTGCTGTGCATCTTAAGTGAAATACGTGAAAGTGATCATATTAGCACCGACACCTTGAACCCACTTAGTAAAACAGTAGCTTTTTAAAATTTATAATTGAAATTTTATTGCTTTATAAACATTACTTATAAACATTACTTGCTAGCTGTGAGAACTGGTGAAAGTTCCCTTATTTCCTAAAGTTTAGCTTCTACAATTATAAAACAGAATCAGTCAGTACTGTACATGTTAGAGCACAGCCTGTGTGGGCAGTGTTAGGCATACAGGTAAGAATTCAACCAACCTTACTCTCCTATTGAAGATGCAAAGTAGTTCATCAGAACAGAACCATGAAACTCTCAAATACTTGACTGTGCACTTCCCTGAGGATGAGTTATTTATAAGAACAACATGGGGACTTTTTGTTCTAGATTAGTGCAATACTCGGCCTCACTCCTTGGGGGGCCCTACATCTCCTTCCCCAAGGAACTGGTGTCAGGAGCTCCCCAAGTAGTCAGTTACTAAGGTAGTCACTAGGCTGCCTACTTCACTGAACAGCCTGGTGGTCACCACCTGTGTAGAAAAAGAACCAAAGCAGGGGCCTGCTTCCTGTGGCGCTGTGGGGGACTTACAGACCAGGAAAGCTAGCCCTGCCTCTGAGACCTGTAGGGAGCAAGGGCTGAGGGCAGGAAGGACACAAAATAAATACAGCAGAATTCAACCTCCTAAGGAAGCCAGAGGGCTCAGGAATCTGGAGCATAATAAAAGACAAGTTTGCATCAGGCCAATGCTTCATAAACACTGGGGTACGGAGATGTAGATTTTAAGAGATTGTCTTGGGGAAAGAGAGGACCACTAGCTAATAAGAAATTATGTCAAAGATAAAAAATCGTTAAAAGTAGAACAGACTCAAGAAAATATCCTCAAACATTAAACAGAAAAGCAGAATCCAGTGACGAATCCTAACCATGGTGGAAATTTTGACACATTCAAGCATGAAAGACAATCAGTCCAACTCAGCAAAGACAAAGCAAAAGTTTATCTATATAAATCAAATTGAGTCTGTTTAGGAGGAATCACAGGTAGCCCAGTCTAAGTTATTTCACTGGACACAAAGACTAGAATAACAGTGTCCCAAGACTGGGAAAGCAGGACATAAAAAGATGCAAAGATCAGGATGTGTGAGTCCAGTCAAGCCTCTCTGACCTGCCACGTTCACACCAAGCCAGGGTCCCCACCTCAGACCTCAGGCCTCACAGTCTCCCACAGCTCACACCCTGCAAGCTGTGGCTTGGCTGTGTTCCCCACAGTTCCCGTGTTAGCAGTGTAACTGCCAGGGCAGCAGCGTTGAAAGGGGTTGAGTCCACAGGCTCCAGTATCACAAATGGATGGCTGGTGTCAGTGTACGAAGGCAGTTAGTTACTAGACACCTGGTCCTTGCTATCTCTCACACACACCTGTTCCTTCACCCTCTTCCACCATGGTATCACACAGCATGAAGGTCAGGGCCAGGTGTGGGGTCCCTGACCAGGCTATAAGAAAAAACGGTCTGTTCTTTATAAATTACACAGGCTTGAGAATTCGTGTTACAACAGCACCAAACAGGCTATGTAGTTATCTATGTATTACCACCAACCATTCAAGCCCATCAACAGACATGCACAGGCCAACGGTCGCAGGATGGGAGTGGACCTTCTGTCTCCACGCCCCTCCCCGCTGCAGTGTTTTTGGAGCTGATGAACGGCCTTTTACTTCAACAGCTCTACAGATGGTGCTATGGTTGTATCTGGATGTCCCTCAAAGCCTTGTGCAGTCATAGGCGGGGCTTTTTCAGAGGCGGCTGGATCTAGAGCCCGTGACTGATTCACAGTGTGATGCTAGAATTCAGGGTGCTAGGATTACAGGTGGGTGATTACTGAATCAGTCCACAGATTGGTGGCACCACCTTAACCCTCATCACCTGGATGCATTGTAAAGGACAGAAAAAGGCTGGTCTTCTCTCTTGCTAGCTTGCTTTTGCTGTCTTCTGCTTGACATTAACTGGTTTTCTTGCCCTCTGCCAAGCCCCACTGCCTTGGAACCAGCCAATTATGGACTAAAACCTCTATTGTGAGCTAAATAAACCTTTCCTCTTTAACTTTGGGTTCTGGGTATTTTGTCTCAGCAATGAAAGAAAACTAACAAAGACAGATGAAGAGCTTTTTGTTTTGTTTTGTTTTTACATTGCATCGAAATCTACTTCCCTGAAATCTCTTCTACTCACTGATTCTAACCTTGTAGTTCCAAGCTATCTTGAAGAAAGAAATAGATGGATTAACTTTAGATTGAGTAATGGAGCTGCCATAACTCAACTCTTTTGACTAAACAAATGAACAATAACTATGTAACAATAGATAACCATACTAAGCTTTTGTTGGTTTATCGAACAGAATAGTTGGTACTGTCATTGTTTGATTGTCCACTTTTAATGCTTTGATTTTGTAACTTGAACAGCTACTTCTAAGATAACAATATGTAATTTATCAGCTAGTAATTTCTTACTGTTTTTTTTTAAATTCTGTATTTCTACTTTTTTCCTGTTTTGCTTTTTTTTCTCTAAATTAAAAAAAAACGGACAAGGAGTCAAAAGTACAGCATTTGAACATGAAGGCTATCATCAAGGATGAGTGATCATATTTCTGATTCACCATCCTGGCACTGTGACCTCTCCCATTCCCTGCTGGATGCAGCTCTAGGCTTGATGGTCAGAGGACTCCAACCTGTGCTGGGGAGGGCACAGGGAAGTAGGCAGATGAAGGACAAGGTGTCAAAGTGCTAGTTCCACGTATGTCCCCAAATATAGAAATTGACTGTTGCTTGTCAAGCTTCTGCTTCATGTTGTGTGGCACTGTTATCCTTTTGGGCCATTTCTGCTAAATCTGACCCAAGAGATACACAGTCCACTAGAACCCTAAGAGCGAGCAGAAGTGACAGCACTTGGAAACCCTAGGTCCAACCCTCCTGAGTATACATGTGTGTGCTCAGTGATCCTTGCATCACCACAGAGATGCCTCCTCCCCACCTACTCATCCCTACCAGGGAAGCAGAAAAGTAGATGCCAGTCCTCACAGCACATCTCAGGAGAATATCTAGAGCCCTTCTTGCCCTTAGGGACCCACTATCCACACCTGCTTACAGGGTGGGGGCCGCAGAAGTTCCTATAATTAAGGTAGCATGAAGCACCCCAGGCAGTCCCCGGGGGTACTTTTCAAGAAGTGAAACCTCCTGGTGAGGCGCAAAGATTTTTGCATCTCCTTTGGCTCTGGTAAGTTTATATCAAACAGAAGTGATTGGAGCAAAGCGCAAGGTAGCAAAAACTACCAATTTCCTGTCACCTGGTATCCATCGGAAACACCAGCCCCAGGCCGGGTCTGTCGCATTCACACTCCAGGACTCCAGAAACTAAGACGTGTACCCAACTCAGAGGCAAACATCCAAATCGCCCCTCAAGCCTTGAAGCCTCAGAGACCCAGGTAAGAAATCTGCGGGCTGTGTTTTCACGGCTAAAAGGAGAGGGTGGATATGGAGCAGGGTTCTTTCAAGAGACTGGACAGTGGTTTAACTCTTAAAACTTCCCTACTCAGGACGCTTTCTCATAGAGTCATAATCTGCATGGGAGCAATTTCAGGGCTTGCTATCCCCCACTTCCTTGACCGCTGTCCTTTCAAGAATTACCCTGGATGGCCAGGCGCGAGCCATTCTGCAGAAGCAATGGGATCCAGCAGCATGTAGGTTAAAGTATGCTTTTCCGCTAGCTGTGTTCAAGCTGCAGCTCTACCATGTAACCAGCCATGTAACCAAGCCTCGATTTGCCTTGACTTCCTCACCCATGAAATGGGGCAATGGTAAAAGCCACTGGGAGAATTAAACAAATTTAGAGGCCTTTTGACCACCTGAAACCAGATAAAAACACACTCGTGGCCCCATGAAAATAATTCCAATCCCTCTGCAGTATGCACTCTCGCCTCCAGGGCCACACAGCTGAGTGTGAATGTACCGAGGTAATGCTGAGCCTGGCAGGCTAACATTCTGTATGGGGGGTTATCGGGCATCAAATTAACCATAAAATCCTGCCTCAGACCCCTAACCCAAGAAACTGACAGTGGAGACAAAGTTGGCACTGGAGATAGAAGGCAGGGCTAATGGCAGCTGCAGTAACTAATCTGAATTATGCATATGGTTTCCTGAAATCAGAGAGACAGCCAGATAGACAGATAGACAGAAAGATTCCCTCTTTCTCTTAGAATGACCTGACCTTTGCACTGCTGGCATAGTGTGATGAAACTATCACCTTTGGAACTGGCGTCCTCAGAAATGCCAGTTCACAAACCTGTCCAGAGGAAGGATCTGAGTTTGATATTCATTTGCACACTCACTGAACTTGAGGTATGCAGGAAACAGGCCCCTCATATAACCCCAAGGACACGCGATTCCCTTAAGGAATGTAGCCTCCATGAGGGGATTTGGGATTTCACAGAAGGAAGTCCTTGATGACAAGTGACAAATGCAAAGGACCGTAGGTGCAGGGGTTGAAAAAGAAGTAACCTGCAGTTACTTCTTTTGGAGATGGATTAACTTCAGATTAAATGAACTTCAGATTAACTTCAGATGGAGTGAGGAGGGCAGACCATGGCCCTGGGCAGTGTGAACTGAGGAGGACAGGAAGAGGCCAAGAGGAGGTGCGGACTCGGGAGTGAAAGCAGGGGACAGGGCCAGCCTGTGGCCCCGGAGGGCCCAAGAGCTCTGGCAGTATGCGGGGCTGGGGTGGGATCCTGAGAAGCACGTGGATGAGCTTCACCAGCAGGCAGTCACAGGCCAGCAAGATGTTCAAGCTCCAGGCAGAGGAGGACTTGGGATTTAGGATTTAGGGAGTCTGATCTGCAGTGTGCAGAATGGACAAGAAAATGACTGAAGGCCAAAAGGAAATAAAAATTTGAAGTTAAAGAAAAGATATTTGCATTAATCCAGCAAGATAATAAGACTAAAACTTTTGAGGTGACGCTGGGTGCGAGATGTATCACAGAGCTAGGAATCACATGACTGAACTGGTTGACTGTGGGAGTGGAGTTAGGGTGACATCAGCTCCTCAGCCTCTGCAGCCTGGGAAACACAGCTCAGCAGCTTGAGGCCCAGTGCCTAGAAAAGGCCGAGGCATTTGCATCAGTGTCTTTGAAACCAGCTGTTCCAGTTGAATGAGGCTGGCACTGGGGCGTGAGTGGGTGGTGAGGAAGTGGGGGAAGCAGTAGGGTGCAGAGTTTGAAGATGCTAGGGTAAAGGAAGGGAGATGGGGCAGCAGCTGGAGACACTGCAAGTTTGAGGGGGCCTTTGAGGTGGGGGGCATATTTTAGCCATAAAAAGGGCCCAGTAATAACAATTATTCTTTGAGTTTTGAGTACCTTAACATTTTCATGTTCTAAAAAGAATAGTTTGAAATGGGCAAGGCAACAATTTTCCTACATGTACAGAGAATGCAGACATAGAAAGCAACAAAACTGAAGTTTGTTGGAAGCCACAAATCGAGAGCCACAAAGGCCGGGGAGAGCAGGCCGGGTGGACAGAGTCAGGCCGAAGGGCACAGAAAAAAGGAAGTCAGGCCGTTTATCCCTAGAGACCAGTGTGCAGGAGGCAGGAAGGAGAAAAACGCAGAGCTATTCTGAGAGGTAGAGGCGGAAGTCGAGGTAGAGAAAGGCAGCTTTGAACTTCTCAGCACGTGATGGAGTTATTGGACCTAAATGTCATCATTCAGACCCAAACCATAAAGGCTGTCAGATCCTCAGGATGAGGGTAGAAACAGGGTGCCTTCATATAGCAGAAAAGATTTGCAGACATCACTGAATAAAATGGGATGGTGTGATCAACAGCATTCAGGTTTTATTAGCAGGGCTGATATTATCATCTGAATAACCCCTACTAATCTGCCACTCATCTTTGAGCATAATTGTGAGTTGGGCTTTATTTATGTCATTGCACACACATATTTTCTATCTTTTTTATTTTAAAGAGGAAAAAAAATGAAACAGACTCTCAAACAAGACAATAAAACAGTAACAATAGTTAACACACTGCATATTGTTATATTTATAGTAGTTACTCAGACTACAAGATATAGACATGAAATACTGTCCACATAATAGTAGCACAAGTCTTAAAAGTCGGATTTGTGCCACTATTATTTGGACATGTTTTTTAATTAGGCAAAGCTGTGAGAACCTACAATGTCCTTAGAGGTAGATGGGCTAGTTCTAGTTTTAGGTATTTCCGTGGAATGAAATTCTTTCTTTGTATAATCAGCCTAAAATGCCCCAGTAGAATTTCCCTACATTGAAAGGTTCATCTCACCAATAATCAAACCACCTTAATCAGACAGCTGATGAATAAGAAAAAGTAAAACAATGAGAAACCAATCATTTCCTTCGGTCTAAACAAAGGGTAGCCTCTGATCTTTAAGTTGTCTCTACTGAAGTTACTCTCCGGAATGAAGAAAAGTGCTTTCCAGCTCATTCTGTATTTGCTGAAAGACCTTCGGAAGACGAATGTCACTGAACCTCCCTTTCCAGTGACGGGAGTTTACCTGCACACTCCTTGTACACTCTTTGGTGGCACCTGTGCCATGAAGCAGAGCCTTAGGATCACGTGACATGGGGCAAGGTCACAGTTGAGCGAGGAACATCAGGTCAAATCTTCCTCCTCCAGCCTGTGTTCACCCAGAAAGTGAAAATAGTCATAGCAATAAAAACAGCTACTTGCCAGGCATGGTGGCACATACCAGCACTCAGGAGACTGAGGCAGGAGGGTCACTGTGAGTTTGAAGCCAACCTAACTGCATAATGAAAGCCTATCTCAAAAAAAAGCTACTATTTATTAGACATGGATGTTTACATATATTTATTATTCCCTCAGTTATACTTACTAAGAAATTACTAAGGCTAACCATTATTTCAAATATTGAGTAAGAGAAAACAAAATCTCTACTCTGTTGGAATTTATTCCATAAGAAAATCCACAACCAACAGAGTCCTAAGGTGATTGTCCTTAGAACTAGGTGGCATGGAGCAAAGAAAACAGGATGTCTGGGTGAAGAGAGCAAATAAAAGGGTGTGCTCTCGAGCAGAGCTCTAGGAAGGCTGCTCTGAAGGGCTGGCCTTGGGCTACACATGCATCAAAGCCTTACACGAACCCTCAGCACACTGAAGTCTCACAGCAACCTCTAGGACAAGTGTGACTGTTTCTGCCACGCTGCCATTGATGAATCAGAGGTTCAAGGAATGTGAAGCACTCATCCCACCTCTCAGAGAAAACTGAAGGATTTCCACTTAAACCTAGGCAATCCAATGCAGGCGGCCACTTGAGGAAGTCTCCTGAAAGTCACTTGCTCAAGGTCAGAGGTTAGAGGGACAGAGAGGTAAGAATGTGCCTCACCATGCTCTCACATGATGCCTCTGGCCCATACCAATGGTCAGGGTCAAATACACAAAAGAACAAATCAATATAAAACACATTTTCCTACATTAAATATAAGACAAACACCCAGGGATGGGAGGTGAGATACATAGTTGGGATTAGGGGTATACCTCTGTGCTAGAGCATTTGCCCACTACCCACAAGGCCCTGGCTCAATCCCTGGCACTGGAAAAGGAGAAATAAGAAGGAGGAAAAAATTAAAGAACACATGTGGATAGGCATGATCCATGGCATTTCTTCAAAGGTAAAATATGCCCTGGCATCACTGCCAAGAACACTGCTGGAGGCTCCAAACCCCGGCTCCTTGTCCCAGACAACAGTCCCCCTGGACTCCTTCTTGGCACCTGGCAGGGGCCCTGCCTCAGGTCAGATCAGAGGCCACCAGGAGGAAGCCATGTCTCTGCTCCGTGACACCCATGGAGGGACCACAGAGACCTACGAGGGTACACAACATGAGACTGTGAAAATCTTGTCCATACTCTCCTCATTCATCATTTTATTTCAGAGTGCTCAGGACAAGATGACGGCACCTCAAAATTCCACAAGTGGAGCTTTCCCCGTGGAGCCTTCAAAGGGTCCTATTTCCAAGCAAGCTGCTCCTGAAGTAAACTTCAGGAGGATGCTGTCCACGATGGGCCCCACGCAGAGCTTCTTTATGAGGGAGTCAAAGGCGCTGGGGGTAAGTTGGTCCACTTGTAGTTCCATGTCTCGGAGGTGCTCTGGCCCCAGCTGAGGCCGCAGGTTATGTAAGAGTCCAACCCAATGAGAACCACTGAGACCCTCCCTGGTGTTTCCTATGACTGACACCATAGGCCCACGCAAGGATATTCTGGAGAAATTGTCACCAGGATCACTTTGGAGTGGTCCTATGTCACCATCTGGTTTGGAGCCAAGTATGTTAGGGATCTTTCCCCAGCTACTACTAGAATCCTAGCCTATCTCTGCTCCTTGGAAATGACCATGGTGGGAGAAAAATGACCTTTAAAAAACCCACAAAATCCTCTCTCCCTTCTCCACTGGGCATTCTGCATGGGCTGAGTCAGGAGCCAGGGCTTCTGGCCTTGTCTTTCCCATCCAACAGCAGCAGTTCAGCCCCATGACCAGTGCCCTCTTCTCTCCCCAGGCCATCCAGATCATGAATGGGCTCTTCCACTTTGCACTGGGGGGCCTCCTGATGATCCCCATGGGTGTCCACGTGCCCATCTGTGTGGCCGTGTGGTATCCTCTCTGGGGAGGCGTAATGGTGAGTGAGGACACAATGACCACTACTGAAACAGGCAAGAAAAAAGTGCTAAAACGGCCCAGGCTCTTTCTGTGTTATGAAAAGCACGATGACAGGAAACAGATTATCTAGTTAAACTAATGAAGTGGGATGAGAGATTGACTTGTGTGTGAGGTTATCGGAGGCTGTGCCCCATGCAAACTCAGAGGTGCTCTGTGTGGATATGCCCAGGGGATGAAGACTAATCAAGGCAGGGTCTGTCCACAGCAAGCTTTGGTTGGGAAGGAGGTACTAGGTACTCACTACAGTGAACCCCAAAGTCCATTTTCATGCATTGAAAAAGCAAAACTGAACATAAAACTTATGCACTGACATTCTCTTAGCTGTGCTACTTGGGTACATTATTCCGAGTCACACTGTGAAAGTTAGTTAACTAGTGCTGGCAGAAAATACGTCCTCAAAGAGTAGGTGTCATCACGATTGTCCCATGCATCCTTATTTGATGTTATAGACTGCAGAGTTCTGGTTGCCTGGTACACTGACAGGCAAACATGGGCTCTGTCTCTGCTTTTACTGTATTCCCATCTATAGGTCTTTAGATGGTTGAATGTCAGAGATTAAATGTAGGTGAGCTTGAATAAAGAAATATACATGCTGAACTGCAAAGGAACCTGATAAAAGTAGGTGCACAGGTCAGAAAAGGGATCTACAGGCTTCTTCATGACCAGTTCTCAGGGTTCCAAAGTGATGCCCCTATCTCCTTCCCTTTGCCCTCTCTCTCTGCCCCTCCCTTCCCACCCTTCTTCCCTCTCTTTTTTACAGTTCATTATTTCTGGATCACTCCTGGTCGCTGCAGAAAAAACCTCCAGGAACAGTCTGGCAAGTAATCACATGTCCTCTTGTCCCACACTTGAAGGAAGGACTGATTTTCTCAGTTGAAAGTGGATAGGCATGATTTGCAGTCAGGGACTCTGTGCCACGAAAGGCCAAAGCTTCTGGTGGCTCTGTTGTGACCTGAAAGCCAGAGCCCTTGAGAAGGCACAGATGGTCTTGTCATGCGAGGTGAAAATATTAGACCTTTCTGAAAGCTATGTCTCTTCCCCCAGATAAACACTGGGAAAATCACCTGATTTTGGGTTGTGATGGATTTATCCCTAAGTTAGAACTTTGAATTACAACCTGGAGCAGACCAGTGTAGCTCTACAGACCTCCGCGTGTTCACCTGTGACACAGAGACAGTGACCCTGGCTATTGGGGTGACATCAGCCCAGGGAGGAGGGGAGTAATGAGGAGCTATGTTGCAGTAACTAGGAGCGATCTCATTTGCAGGACTCGGGCATATTCCCACTCCAGGAGAGGCTGTCCGCTGAGGTCCCTGGACTGGATGAGTTGAGGAAAGTTTACCAGCAAGTTTCTCCCCAGAAAGCCCTGTCCCAGTGCTATACATTGGGCTGAGTTACTCCTGCAGTCAGGGAAGGACTGAGTGGACCTGCTGGTTCCTCTCTAGAAGACACCTGGCAGGGAGAAACTGTTCCTAAAGATCAAATTGTTCTATTCCCCAAATACTGCCACCATGCCTAGCTTGCCACAAAACTGTTAACAAAGCCAGGGATGTATCACATGCTTCATAAAATACTCATCAGTAACCTTGTACTATTAGAATGCTTGTCAAACACATCTTCCTGCTTCAACTCAAATCATTCCTGCAAGGCACATCCACTCTGCCCCTCTCACCTGCACGGCCTGGAGACATCAGCCCTAGATACAGGTACAAATGTGCTGGGCTGGGGCTGACTGGGACCTACCGCAATACAGTAGGTGGCATTGTTACAGCTGCCACTTTTGTCTTTTCTTTCTCTTTTTAAAAAATTTTTTATTTAAAGGTGGCACGGTCTTGAGGGCTTCCAGTTGCTCCCTCCCTATCTATGCCTGCCCCACCATCCACTGGAGGGAGCATGGTATAAGAACCTCTTTTCCTCTCTCTGCCCTGCCTTCTTATGTAGGGAGACTTATACAGATTCCATTGTTTCTCGATTTACTCAACACCTATCTACAAGTTGCCTCATAGGATGCAGGATGCAAGGATCCAGCTTGAAGAAAGAAGGGCAATGCTAGAATTTGTGATTCATATACTAGGTGGATGGAGGTACCATAAAATTCAATAAGGAAGACAGGAAAGCAAACAACACATGAAGCTAAAGAATTTATAGTGAAAAAGAAGCTAAAACGCACAGAAGGAACTTAGATATGATTTCAGCGTGGCACCTCCGTGAGTCAGGATTCCTGCCTTAGCTCGCATCCTCCATGGGGAAATCAGAGCCTAACAAACAAATCTGCTTGTCTGTTTCAGGTCAGAGTGAAAGTGATAATGAACTCGCTGACCCTCTTTGCTGCCATTTCTGGAATAATACTCTTGATCATGGATATATTTAATATTAAACTTTCCCATTTTCTAAAAATGGAGCGACTGAGTTTTATTAAGACTCCCGTGACATATATTAACATATACAACTGTGAACCAGCCATTCCCTCAAAGGAAAGCCTCCCATCTACGCAATACTGTTACACCATACAGTCCGTGTTCCTGGTGAGTGCAAAGCCGGGTTTCTCTCCAGGAAGGAAGTACTAAGTGGCAATTTTACTCCAAGTGTCAATTCCAGACCCAACTCTGGGTCTGCTCTTTATTGCCTGTGTGGCTTTAGGCAAGAACTTTACCTACACACTGCCTCAGTTTCTTCCACTGTAAGACAGGTATATAACACTACTCAGTTTACAGGGCTGCTCTAAGGAATGACTGAGTTGATATACACAAAGTACTTGAACAGTATAATTAGCACCATGTTTAATATTATTATCAATGCTATTAATATTAATCACTCTTAAATCAGAAGAATATGGAAGAAACTCCAAAGAGAGAATGAACATCTTTTCCCTTATGGACTTTCTGTGTTGAGTTGGAAGGGGCAAATGCACGTTCTCCAGTTATGGAGAAGTCTCCTTGCTGTGATGCCACACCACGTAAAGCTGATGGATTTTAATTTCGGCCTCAGTACTCATGCTCCACAGAATTGATTCTTCAGCTGATTATCCCTACTTTACCTCCTTCAGCAAAGCGCATTCAGCACCCATTGTGTGCCCAAGCTGCGGTAAGGGCTCGGGTCGTAACAGCGCTGTCTTCTGCACTACCCGTGCCCCCACGACTCATCTCTTATTTAAAGGACTGTTTGTTGGATCCTTCCAGTTCTGTCCACAGCCATGCAGCAAGCACCAACCACATCCCCAGTGCCATAGCAACATCATCACCTGTTCTTTGCTGTGTCTTTCAGGGCATTTTGTCAGTGATGCTGATCTTTGCCTTCTTCCAGAAACTTGTGGCCGCTGGCATTGTTGAGAATGAATGGAAAAGACTGTGCTCCAGACCCAAAGCTGTAAGTAGAAGCCACCCTGTCCATTACCATGCATTAGATCATGCTCACCCACATGGCATCTTTCATGGAATGGGACTCTGGATGCTCTGAAATTAAGCAGTTTGAAGATGATCTTCCATTTTGCTAGAAGTTACAAAATATCAATAGCAAAGAAAATGTCTTGCAATTTGAAATGTCTAGAAATAGATGGGAATATAGGTCTACAACAGGTGAATCTTCTTCCCTTCCCTTCTCAACTCAGACATCCATCTCGGGTTCAAAATTCCACACTCTTCACGTCAAAGTGAAGCTGGAGGTCTGAGCCTGAGTGAAGTCACTGGTTCTTTGACTTCATTTCTCTGTGTCCCCTGTCCTCCTCACCCTCTCATCTAATTCCTCTCCCAAAATGACAAGTTCAAAGAGAGTCCAAAGTTGGGAAATATGGATATCTCAGTGACAGATCTGCTTACTGCTTCAGAGCTACTTAGATTTTTTAATTTTAATTTTAAAAACAAAAATGAAGAAAAATGATACAGAATTCCAAAACAAAGTAAAAGAAAATTAACACCGATTCATACATTGCATATTGTTATCTTCGAAGTAGTCACTGAAATTAGAACATACAGGCATTAAAAAATGATCAACTTATTTTGCTAAAGTAGTAAGTAGGATAAGAAGGATAAAATTATTTCCCCAGGGTCATAATCATTACCAAAAACTCAGAACTAGGATCTGAACTCCCCTGCTACTGTAGTGCCATGCAACCGTGCCAGGCAAAGGGGCGAATCCCGATGCCTTCAAAGACCGACTCAGATTTGAGTTTTGAGGAGAGAAGGATTTGAGCATCTGTGTAATTCATCCTGGAGGTATACTGTAAATAACAGAAGCAGCATAAATCCTAAGAGACACCTGGTAAATATGGGTAGAGATGATTGAGAAAGATGTCAAGATCAAAGTCAAGAAAAATGTGTTTGTGTTCTAGAGCATGGTTCTGCTGGCAACTGAAGAGAAAAAAGAACAGACAGCTGAAATAAAGGAAGAAATAGTTGAGCTAATTGAAGTGTCTTCCCAACCCAAAACTGAGGAAGAGATTGAAATTATTCCAGTCCAAGAAGAAGAGGAAGAAACTGAAGTAAACTTTCCAGAACCTCCACAAGACCATATACAGGAATCTTTTTCAGTGGAAAATGACATCTGTCCTTAAACTATTTCCCCTGCTTTCTGTTCTCTCTTTTCAAGCATTATGGTTTATAGCTTCCAAAAAAACAGCTAATATGTCTCTGCACTTCTCTCCATATTTGCATTTTTCATTGCCAAAGAGCCTCTGGTCTCATATTATTCAGAATGTAGAAAATGTAGCTGAACATTTTGTAATGTTTCTGGTTCAGATAATCTTTCCTATACTGGGGAGAGGTAGAAAATAAATGCTGCAGTAAATGATTTACTACTATATTTTTCCCTGGATGGGTTTTTTATTAGCAACAGCAGTATTGTTTTAATTTCTCCCAGCAGCAAATGGAAAACTCTGAACCTGATGGAGGTGGTCTGGGTTCTCTGTCCATCCCTAATTTCTCTGAACTCCTTCTGCATCTAAATTTCTGGTGAAGTCCTTTTGCCTCGTTGTTTTAATAATTATAATAATAAAGATGTGTGAGAAAACAGTTCCATATATCTTCCCATGGAGTTGATAGTGTGGCCCTTTCTTAGAGACCCACAGCCCATTCAGGGAGTTCAAAGTGGCCAGTACCATCCCTTTCTCTGTACAAGCACCATAGCTTATATTCAGGTCTATCTACCCCCAATTTTCCCAACTCCTGATTAGCTGTTGGTTGCACTATCACCTACTTCTAACATTTAAGAGAAGAATGACTGAATAAATGTGATGAGTACCCAGATTTCAATAATAATCAACACTTGTGTCTGTAGAATACTTTCTAGATGACCAAGTGCTCTATCAAGTAATTTGATTTGATCTTCTATGGTCAAGAAAGAATCTCCATCCTTCTTATTTTGCAAGTAATTCAAAGAGTTAGCCAAATAAAAGTAATCTGTCAATATTCATGGCTTGCAATCTTTATAATCTTTTTCATACCCACATCTTCATATTCAAATCCTGGTGATGTTTGAAGTAACAGACTTATATACTCAATGACTTCATAAACTGCCAGGGCCAAGTTAGTCAGTTTCATCAAGAACCTACTCTGACTCCCCTCCCTTAAACAGGTATTAAAAGTCTTAAAACATACAAAATCAGATTTTACCTCTTAGGAATAAAAACACTTAGAAATATAAAATATTCATTCATACTTCTATACAATATTCTCAGAAATAACTTCATGCTTGGAAACAGCATCACCAAAATGCCATATCATAGGAAACAGCATCCTACCTTTTCCTGCTTAAAGATACTAGTCTCTTACCTAGGAAGAATGATAACATAGGAAGACATCACTATAATGCTATAATCTGTCATCCAGACGCCCAACTATATCGACCACCAGCTTCCAAATTGGTCAAGTACCTGCACAATGTAATTTACACTCTGTGACACTGTTATTTTGCTAACAGTGGAAGATGGGTCCTGCAATTAGTAAAAAGGGGACAGATCTGTTCTCTAGGTTAAGTCTTCACAATTCACTCTAGCTGAATGAAATCTTGTGTTTTTGTCTGTAGCTGACGAATCCAACACGGGCATTTCCATTTCTTCTTTACACCTCTAATCTTTAAAATATGGGAGGCTTCTCCAGCCTCGAGCTCCCACTCCTGTAAAGCAGTCTGGGTTTGAACCACCTATGTCAGGCCACTAGTAACTGTGTCAATGTATTCTTACACACACACACACACACACCCTCAAGGAAACTATCCAAAGCGTTGGGGGCTAGTGACGTGCTTGCTCACTAGCAGCAGCCCATGGCCTGACCGGGGCATGTGGTACATGCTCTTGTCTTGAATTAGGCAAGATGAAACCTTCAAAGGCCAATGGCTGTTTCAAAATCAGAAACCTTCAAGATGCATGATTTAATTTCTAATTTATTCCACTGCTGAAACATATATATATGTATATATATATATACATATATATATATATATGACAATCCCATTCCAATAACAATTGTTTCCTTGGGAATTCCATTTTATTCATTCTTTTGATCTCAGCTATTTTTTGCCAACTCATATAACTCTTATGAGACACATTTTAATGTCTACTGAGGAAGAATGGACATTATGACTTGCTTTCAGGTTATCCCTTTATCATTATACAATCAAGTAACATTGGCCAATAGCAAATGTGCTTCATCCTGAAATGCAAAATATATTCTCTTTAAATTGGCTTTTTCCTGTAAATATTTATTTTTGTAACAAATTTTATGACTGCTCTCTCAAGTTGGCTGTGTCTGAAGGACTTCTTGGGATGTAGGATTTTCAGTGTTAACATCAAGACAGTTCCAGGTACGTGGGGTAGTTGATCATTCTAGCTCACAATACTGTAGAACTTCAGTCAATTGTACTCACTAAATAACATAACGTGCTTTTTATATATAACTATACCAAAGATTTTCTTTGTTGATGCATAATTTTCACATACATATCTTTAACTGCAACTTAGCACCATACCACATATGTACTTAAAGTATTTACTTTTTTCACTTTTTTGGTTTTAGGTTTTTCGCAAATCATTTTTGGGACTGTAGAAACTAGAGGAAAGATATGTACTTCCTCTTCTCATGCAAATGTGGCTTGATACTTTAAGCCTTCTCAAAGTCTACCACTAAGAAGGACTGGCATTTTGGAAAAAACAGGAAATTAAATTTTTATTTCATTATGACAAGTGACATTCAACAATTCAATACACATAAAAATGCTAGCTTCAAGTTGTTTTAGCATGAGTTCACCTATGCAGTTCTACTTGTTTTAAATTCTTGGTGAATAACCTGATACACTCATGGGGGTTCAAATACAAAATTATCTTGCATTGTCTGCAATACTTAAGGAAGTTTTCTTTCATTCAAACCATATTGTTTCCTGAGATAAAAAGAACCAAACCGTATAAATCAATAAGGTAGAATCATCCAATCCAAAGTCAAAGTAATTTATGATTATCCTAAGACAATACATTTGTCCCTAACTCATCTGTTCTACTATGACTGTTAAAAAAAAAATATATATATATATATATACACACACATATACACAAATGCTTTCTGCTGCAAGTTTAAAAATCCAAAGAAAGATACAAGTAATCACTGAAAAATCATTTATTCACTCATCTAAAAATATTTATTAATTTCATTCCATTCTGCATCACACAATGGTGAGCAAAGAATAAGCAAACTGCCTCCTCTTAGAGCTTATTTCCCGATTGGAGAAGGAGATGTTGGTAAAATCCATCTGGCACCACTACGATGTGTCAACTTTCCACTGCCATAATAAAATCTCTGAGGAAATAGACAACAGAAGATGAAAGGTTTGTATTGTTTCATGGTTTCCAAGATATCAACCATGATTAATGGCTCTACTGCTTGGGCACTTGTGGTGAAGTAGGACAGCATGGTGGGGGGAACTCAGTGGAGCAAAGGTCCTCAAATCATGGAGGCTGGAAGGAAAAAAGGAGACGAAGGAGCTGGGGTCTGCATGTCCCAGAATACCTAACTGCCTTACGCTAGAGCCTCGCGGATAGACTTTACCACTTCCTAACAGGGCCACTAGTGAACCAAACCTTTAGCATAATCCTTGAGTAAGAACTCCCAAGGGATGGTGACACTCCATTAGAAAAGTGCCCAGCATGCAGTCTCAGAAAACATGACCAGGTGAAGATGAAACTGGGGCCAAATTAGAAAGCAAGAAGGGCTCTTGGTGTGTGAACTGCCTCCAAGGCTATAGGAAAGGCAAGCGTTTCAAAGGTCAGGGAAGTTGCATGGCAGCGTGGTTGAGAAGTGAGAAAAATGAAAATACAGTAGAGGCTACTGAACACAGTGTTAGGGGAAATCGTTTCAAGATGAAATACCAAGGAGAAACCACTAGTAATACAATGGGAAAGGGGTGATGCATCAGCATGCCCACTCTGAAACAGACTTGGCTCCCAAGGCGTCTGACCACACAGGAAACGAAAGACCTGATTCAGAGTCCCTGTGAGACTCTAGGTCAGCACCTCAAGTCCAAGAGGGCCTCAGTAACTGAGATCTCAGTGTGCCAGGGCCACACAGCAAGAGTAACATACACAAAGGCCTATTGTTGCAACATTCCCACAATTCAGACACACTGGTCTCATCAGACCGGTGAGTGGTGAGAGAGATGACAGGAGGTTTAGATGCCTCTGTCCCCTCGGAGCTGAGACCAAACACACCATTCCAAGGTATGAGGAGTCCAGTGCCATCCTGAGGACTATGGTGGCCTTTACAGTGTTCTTGATCTTCAGACCAATCTGTCCTCAGTTTTGACGGAAGCAACCCACACAGCAAATGACAGAGAAATGCCTTTGTGGGCTGCAGCACCCATAAGAGAAGTAAATATTACTCCATGGACCCGGCAGGAGCGGGGAAGAGAAGTCCACAGCCCTCAAGTGCCACAAAGCTCTTGTCCTGTGATACTTGCGGCACTGATTTTCATCAGCTGTTACACTGAGACACCTACTGAGTGGTCTATCCGCAGCACTCAGGGCTTTTGTCTTTATGGGAAATGAAACTTGTTAAAGTTATGCTTCTGTGTTTGGCAGGAAGCAGCTGCGATGAATCTCAGTTTGGGGAGGAACAACTTTGCGTCACAAAACACTACAAAACTATTCAAACCTATTCAGTGAGACAGGACAGAATGTTTCATTTCAGTAAACTTGAACTTGGTGCTTGATAAAATAATATGCTAAGCTCTACCCAGTATGAATTATACATAGATCTTTGATATGCTGATACAAAACCACAAGAAAACTGAAAGAATAATAAGATGGGAAATGCACAAGAGCTATTGTAAAAATGAAAGGGAAGAAAGTGCTCTTCTTAAACTTTTTTTCCTGGGTTCATTTGAAAATTTTACAATCAGAAAAGCTCTGAGAAAGACAAATTCAAAATGGGCTCTCATCAGATGGGGTTGAAGAAACAGATTTAAGCTGAATTGTGTTTTGCGTGTGTAAGTTGGAATTCTAAGTACAGAGGTACAACACTTTGTAGAACGGATAGCTTCCAACTGTACCTAAGGAGACTTTAAAACCCCTAACATTTGTTTTCCAAGGAGTCTAATAACACTAATCTGCACTTCGTTGGGGAATATATTTTTTTAACTCCCACTGGACTCCAATGTGCATCATTTCAAGAACTGTTCTAAATTGCTCTGTAGCCTCCAAGACATAACAAAACACAAAACTAAACAAAATGGAAAAATGTCAATCTTTCCTTCCTTCTTTCCTTTGTTTTGCTTTGAGCTTGGTTTTTTTTAAAGAGGTACCAGCTTTACAGACAAGTGGATCATATAAGTTAATCTACGAAGAAATAGAATAAAGAGAATTTTTGTGAGATAATTTAATAAAATCAGTAAAATGGTGAGAGAAAAGATGCATGAGTTGAAGACAGCCTGATTAAAGTCTCTTAAAGAAAAGGGGAAATTGGTGAGACAATGTCTGAAAACCTCCCATAGCATTTTGTGGGAGATGATCACTGGCTTTGGGGACTGT